TTTTCTTTTTTTTTTTTTTTTTTTTTTTTGTTTATTTTATTTATTTATTTAGTTATACCTCCTTTGTACCGCATCAAATTTTAAAAATATAATACCTGAAGTTAAGAGGAGAGATAGGGTTATATAAATAATATGGAAATATGATATTATAAAATTGACCAAACTATCACCCATTGGACATTGCGTGAGATGATTGGAGTTTTGTTAATGACTCCAAATATTCTCCCCTACTTTTTCTTTTAAGAAAGTACAAAGCATTAATACATTGAAAATAAATAAACTAATAATTGAATTTTTGGACCCAATATGTCACATTCTAGGAAAATGATAGGTTAACCACGTGAGATAAATAGTGAGACGACCCTCAAGTGGTATCCATCCCACGCATCTTGTAGAACTCACAAGTACAAGAGTAGTTTTTCTATCATCATTTATAAAATAATATCTATTCAAATAACCATCATATATGACATTCTGTTAAAGTCGGCTAAATAATATGTTTCCAACATGTATTGTTCATCTTTATATTTTTCCAAACTAAAATATGTTAAAATTTGGGAAAATAACTTCAATTTTCAAGATCGTAAAGTTTAGGATGGTGTTGGGTTGGAATTTGAAACCTTTCTGATCAACGTTCTATTGTAATAGCCCAAAAAAAATAAGTAAATACATAATTAATTAAAAAAAATAAAAAATAAAAAAAAACTCTTCTCATGCCTCTCCACTAACCCTTCATTCCTTGTCTCAATTATCTCATCTCAACTCACCCCAAACATCACAGTTAGTGAAATAAGAAATAGGACAAAATGTCAAATTTGAGAAAAAACTAAAATGGCTTACCAGCAAATTTAAATTTATTGGAGAGATTTTGCTATGATGCTATGGTAGGTAAATCATATTTCAGATTTCTTTTCTTTTATAGTAAAAAATCAGATCCCATTTTTTTCTTTATCCAATTATTTAGATTTTAGTTATTATTTTTTTATCCAATTATTTAGATTTGAGTTAAATCACTTTAGAATCAATAATTTGAATTCCAGTAAATAATCACTTGTGAAGGGAGTAAAAATTTACCGAATTAAAATAAATGCAGAGGAAATAGAGAAAAACTGAAAATTTAATAGTGTAAATAAATAGATAAAAAAAAGAAGAAAAAATTATTTATTAGAATAAATAAATAGATAAAAAAAGAAAAATTTAGATTTAAAGGAGAAAATAGAGTAAATAAAAGGAGAAAATTTACCTAATTAAAATAATTAAAATAAATACAGAGAGTAAGGAGAAGTGCAGAATAATAGAAAATTTAACCGAGTAAATAAATAGATGAAAACGAAAAAGTCTAATAGAGAATACAGGTAAAATTTAATAGAGTGAATAAAACCAGAGAAAA